ATTATTGTACATTATATGCCATTCGAAATATATAAAAACTATATTATAAATTCAAGTAGTACATTAACGAAAAATGAGTTCGACGTATCGATATAATATATCAGACAAAATTAACATAAAATTTAATGTCATTCGCTGCGAACTTTCTAGATGCCGTCAATTCGACGAACTTAATGCCTTTCATCACTTGCCGAAAGCCATTATTTTGTCACATCCTATCCGATTTTGTAATCAAAACCTCATTTTTTAAACATTTGAGATCTGCCTACCATCGGATACCATGATTGGTTAGCGGCAAAACTTCACCACTCCTATACGATAATTATGCTTTCAAGAAAATTCTTATCTCCAATTTCTTTTATCATATCAACGGTCAAGCACACTGGAATTACGTAGTAAAAGTCACGTGAGACAATGGGCGTGACGAAGAACAACATGTTTTCAAAGATGACAGTCGCTGTCAGTCATCAAATGAGACGAATACGCGCTTACTTGGCAACTCGTCGTATTTCCGGCAAAGCAAAAGGTTTCTTGCAGCAACCAACTTCTTATGGTATGGTGATCAGAAGCCCAGAATAGAGAAAATAAACAGTTTAGCTGGAAGAAACGGAATCCACCGATTTCTGATGCTGTCGGTATTCTGTCTCTGCAGTTTTCAAAAGTTTTCTTAGCGGCAACGCCTCGTCATCTCGAACTTGCTGCAAACCTGAAGAAATATGTATAATTTGCAGTGCACAGTGAAAGCACAAAGTAATGATGTACCATTCGTCAAAATCGAATTAACCATTAAAAGGTGAATATCATTTTCGTACTTTTCCGTCGCACGACAGCCATCTATGGAAACATGGTAGCAGTGAATCGGCTTTGAGGCATCTGCACAAAGAACGAACAGATACGCATCGCCTTTTGCAAAACACACGTCTAGTACAGTGCTTCTAAACGAAACAACCTCTTTCTGAACTACTGACCAAGTGCAAGGGTCGAATTTCATGACCAAAATATAAGAACACCTAAAAACACCAATATCTGTCAAATGTGAAAGAAAAGCATTCACAGCATAATCACAGAAATAAATCGTACGTCTAATTAATTTAAGGTTCCCAAATTTTAAAGAATCGAATTTCATGGTGTTGCATTATTCCCCGATTGTTGGACGTCCGGAAGTTGAGATTCTCAAAGAAGTGCTTATTAACATATAACGACGTAACGGGCTCATAATTTTAATCTTTCACAAAAGTATATAAGGGACACCAGCTCCAGCAACTTCGCTTATCAACCTAGTCACTTGTAATTTCAAGAGATTCACACCGGATAATCGCAGCGCAACCTTGCTCTTAACGGTAACGGATACTTTTAAGCAAGCCATGGCGCCATGGCGTTACAGCAAAAGCAGTGCAAAGATGCAAAACCACGGGACTGTGTTGGGTAAGTCAACGATCTATTCACAAAGTAACTAAAACATATATATATGCAGGCAGCCTATGCACATATAGCGCATTCAACTTTTGTTCAACTGTTAATTAGTTGAACTTACAATATTACAACATACATAACTCACTGCGAACGTAGTTACAAATCAGCAGCGAACATCCATGCACACCATAAATATTCAGATTTAACATAATTAAATTAATGATTTACACCTTGTGGTTACTTTTAGTAAGATGGCAGACGTCTCAAAGTAATAACCAGCGGTCAGATGCCCGGCACTGACAGCACAGCCGAAAGTCTCGCATATTCCAGCGTGGCTACACCTAAACACCATCCTGTCCCCAACGTTTGCAGGTAAAGGAACTGTTACAAGTTTCTCGGCTGGCCACGCCGAAATCGTGGACAAATTCTTTGCAAAGGGGAATCGGCAATTAATATAAAACATATCCTGTTATTCCTGGCTCGGATAAGAACTCCGCTCTTATACTGCACAATGAAACCGTAATGAGCTGCACATTTGCACCCTCAGCATCATTCAACCAACAAACATAATCGTTATCTTAAATGCTCTTGTATGAAAAGGTACAGCGTCTTATTGCACGAACTAACATGGGGATTTCTCGTATCTGCAATTTCATTATTTCTGACCATATCATGACAACGGCTACCCTGTATTCCGAAACTTCGACAAGCTGCAGGGCCTTTAAATGCCTTGTTCAAAGTTTTGCCTTAGCATCAGGAGGTACGAGGAAAATCGTAATGACGTTGAGTCAGGACGAAGTGATCTTCTGACCATAAGATATTCAACACTACAGTCTTCACATTATGATGCGGAAGAACGAAAAACTTCAGCATTATCGGTTCTTGTTGAACAATACTTCCATCCCTCATCCCGAAGAGAGATATCATTGTGCATATCTTGTAATTATCTGTTAATAACTAACCCTAGAAATGAACTGGTTGGTGATCGAATGGAAATGAATTTCAACTGCATTATGCGGTAGGTGAATAAAAAATACACAAATGGAACCCTCACGAAAGTGTGAAGAACAGAGCAATATACCAAAAGTAATGCGGCTACCTTTGGCGACTGCGCGTACCTGATGGTAAAAACAAAGGCGAAGAAAACATTTATTTGTTTGGATAATACATTTACAAACCTAATGTGGAATTTTTTCTACGAAAAACGATGCCACAGACAACATACAAAAACGATCATTTTCGTCTTCAATTTCACTATCTAAGGTTATTTAAAATAAATTACCTCTGCTTTAACAGTTCTCTGACTGACACTGAAACAAATAGTAATACTGAGCAGCAATACAACTCTGTGCATATTCATATGGCGTTGATCCTGCCAGTCTCTAGTTCCTGGATGCACTGAGATTCCCTTCATGAACTTTTAGGGTAACAATTGGCTGGGGTCTGTCATCAGTGACTGGCCCAATGGAATGGGGGCACTGATGATAGCTGATGCGATTCGCTCAATAATCTGGGCGAGATCGATTTCACTAATCCCATAAATCAGCCGGAGAGCGCAAAATAGGATAACCATTTTCTTTGGGAACAAACTAAAGTTACCGGGCTTGCGGCAGCAGGCAGCCGAACAAAAAAAATGAACTGGCATATTTATGAGTCACCGCAAAAGTCTCAACAACCTTTTCGTTTGCGTATTTTGCTGAGCAGCAACGTAATGAACTCTGGTCAGCCTATTCCAAATGTTAATTCAAGACGACATCGAATACCTGATAGTATGTACACCCTGAACCGAATTTTCCTCTATCGCAAGAACAGCCGCTGATGGCATTTTTGTTGAACAGATATTTTTCTTATGCCCGTCAGCTCAGCAGTCTTCCTATGGTCGATTAGCAGACTCCTGTTTCGTCGACGTCACGAAGTCCCATGATTACAATATGAAGAATTCTAAAATGTACCAAGAAACGCTGATAACCATTGACATTTATGGCCCCAAACTAGATGTGGCTTGATCCATGCATACCCTACATCACAGTATGTAAAACACCGATTCATTTTAAGATTAGAAAACCTTGCAGTTCATCAGTTACTATGTGACCACAATCGTGACTAAAGGACATGACTAAGACGAATTGAGAAAACTGTATAAACTAAGAGAGAGTCCAGAAGTTCATTTTTAAAGACCAATTTGGATGACGCCAAAAACACGATAACAAGATTTAGAAAAAACTGGCTAAAACTGAAATCATGTGAAACAATTAGCAACCATTTTAACTTTAAATTCAAATGGACCATGGAAAACCAGTATCCCATCAGAATCGTAATATCTGAACAGTACTGAAAGAAAAAATGTACCAAAAAACATGATCAACAGGCAGCCAGCATGGCATCTTCGAATACATGATTAAACTGGCAATAAGTACGGCTATTTTAACTCGCGTGTCTCGCTACAAACTCGCAACTGTATTACTGCAACCTGGCACTCATATCAAAATCATTCAAAATGCATAATGGAAAACGGTGATTCCGCCACCAAATTATAGCTGACCAACCAACAGGAGGAAAAATACATCTGGTTTGATCCTATCTACAAGTGGTTGATAACTTTGAGATTCAATGTAAAAAATTACAATTTAAAATTCTAAATGCCAATAGCTAACCAGGCCTTAGCTTTGTTTACAAACTTTTTCGAAGAATATCTATCACTTTGAAAAGTATTACTCGAATTTAAACAAAACAAACAATAACTTTAACAAATGAACTTTACCTTTGAAAGCACAAAGCTAACGTAGTATTGAAGGAGACAGCGTGCTTAGCGTAAGCATCTTCTGTAGCAGTCAGATTGTAACCTTTCGTCGCCTCGAGGTAGTTAAAAGAGTTTAGGCATTTTCCTGAGGAATAGTTCCATGTACTGATGAATCCATCCTTAAAAACAGGCAATAGTTTCTTTTGTTCACGTCAAACAATGTATCTTACGCCAGAGCAGGAAACGAGTGTCGACGTCGATGACGCGTCGTCTTTCAAAGTCGCCAAACAACTGACAAACCTAACTTAAAAATTGAAACTTAGCTGGGGATGTAATGACAAACGTATATTACTTCAGATGACCCATGCAAAAAGTTTCGATCGCGTAAGTGTGAGGATAGCGGCTGATTCGGATGCGTCGATCACGATCACACGTACCAATGAAGCTCCCATCACGAATTAATACCGGAAATAAATCATTAGTGACAGCCAATAATTAAAGCGTTAAAGAAACTAGTTGAAAGTGTGTCTGAAACAACCTTTGCCGCTCACAAAAATATTGTATCGTCCATGGCTGGGAGTCGCAGGCATTGCTACTCTGCACTGAGAGCAACAGCTTCGACGGTTCGGACACGCCTTGCAAATGCTTCCAGAAAAGAAGGCGAAAGAGCTACTACTTGCTCAACCGATCGACCAAAGACTCCAGGGACATTTATGAATAGCCTGGGGGCGGTATATCGAAGGATTCGGCTCCAGACTCTAGGTTTCATCTGCAAAATTCAGATGCTGGTGCAAGAGAGACAAATGTCAGAGATACTGGTTCACATTGCAGTCTGTGCGAACCGAAAGGCTACGAGGTTATCGAAACCGACGGGGAACGACTATATTTTTGACTCAAACTTTAGTAGCAACAGGAAACAATTTTCCAGTCTTAAACTTTATGCAACAATGCATCCTGCACCTGCAAATCAGGAGAGAAGGACCACAAAAACACAAAATTTGAAAATCAGAGGAACTAGAGACTGCTAAAAAAGACAACATTCGGATCGCACCGTTCTAGTTAATAATAAGTTCTGTAATTCAAGAGAATTCCGTGATCATGACCAGATGCTTCAAAGCTGCTATATCTAATGGTTTCATGATGAGCAGAAGTTTGTCTTGCAGGGCCATAGTTGATTTAAATGCCTCGTGACAATCATTGGCTGGTGTACATTACAACACACGGAGGAAAGAAATGTGCATCGCAGATAGACATTTAGATGTATTTTCAATCTGACTGGGGAATCACCAAAACTTAGTCATCGGAAAGTAGTTTTGGCTTTAAGCATCCCTAATAATTTAAAGAAATTAAATATTCATTCATCATCGGAAGTTCAAATTATTTCAGTGCTAACGGATAACAAGTGGAATAATCTTCTAATTCAATTGTTATAGGGGTAAAAAATTGAACGAATTTATTGAGAAGCCAACGCTAGATTAACAAGTGTAAACATTAAGGGCCTGAATCATGGGTAAGTTAGTCGCCTGACCTTCTTCGCAAGTACATAAGAGAATATAATTTAGTGAAAATAAAACAAACGGCAGAAAATACAAGCTCTAGTAGCAACCTAATGAATTAACCTAGCAAATAAAAATAAATAAGGAAAATAAAATAAAAATCAGCGCCAAACCATAAGCTGCATGAAAGATGGATACTCAAATCACTACCATTCGTGAAAAAGCACTTCAATGCTAGCAAACTTCCCTTACTTTCTCATCTGTTCAAACAACAGTAGGAACCTGCAATAATAAACCTCCCTTCGTCCTCTTCATCTTCATCTTAAATGGCCGCTTCTCCATTCGGGTAGCTGAGGCAGACGCGTCAGACAGTGCTTCCAACGTTCCCGATCCTGTGCCAGAGTCTGAGCTTCGGCAAA